TACTGATCTTCACACAAACATCTCTGCTTGCCGTGCTGACAGGCCATCAGGTGCTATCTCTGCACTATTAGTAAAAGATAGTTTAGGAGGCGCTTACTGGACACCCAATATATGGCTTCCATCCAGTAGCCAAAAAATATGCAGACCAAAAAAGAGATTTGTGAAAGAGATTCACAAGAAAGCGGCTACATTATGGACAGAATGCGATACTCAGAAAAAATTTCCCAAAAATTATGCTTTATTACACATTAATGATTGACACTCGGGCAATCGCCCTGGTTTACCATCACCTCAGTATGAGACATTGAGTATGAGCATTTGCAGCACCGCACATTGGTTACACTCCCAGAGGTAGGGAAGTACAGCGCGCCAAAAAATTCTACCATGGGGTATATATAATATCACAGATAAGGCTCGGCGTCAAAAATTGTACCTTGGCACGCGTGCCACGGGTTCGCCATCACTGCCCTAGTGCCTAGTACTGGGACTGCTACATCACTTCCTGTTAGAGTGGATTCTGTTATTCTGATAGCAGAGGATATTGGGACCAGTAGTCCTATAGCCAATTATCCTGTATTCCTGAGTGCTGTTTGAACTACCCAACTACCAGAGTTGGGGAATGAGAAGGATGAACTGGTAGAGCAGATATACAGTAGTATATTCTACAGCCAGGGACTGGCCCATCTCTCTTGGCGAGGGATTCAGAGTTGAAAACAGATGAAAGGGTGCCGTTTTCCTCCAGAGACAGAGAGGCCTGTTGGTCTTACTGCTGCTGGACTGCTGAACACTTTCATATTTAGCAAGAGGGGTGTTGCCAATCGCCACACCAGAATTGCATCAGCTTCTTTGCATTAGGACTGTCATTTACTGATCTGCACACAAACATCTCATGCTTGAACCCCGTGCTGACGGCAGGCCATCAGGTGCTATCTATGCACTATTAGTAAGAGTACCCAGAGTGACTATTCTTATATCATTTGTCTTTAAAAAAGATAGATCATGGCCGAAATTGTTGGCCCTGAAAATCTTAGGAGGTTCAAATATAAATTACTGTATCACCCAATATATGGCTTCCATCCAGTAGCCAAAAAATATGCAGACCAAAAAAGAGATTTGTGAAAAGAGATTCACAAGAAAGCGGCTACATTGCTATACACATGAATGCGTATGTACTCAGAAAAATTTCCAAAAATTAGAGGCTTTAAAACAAATATGACATTGACACTCGGGCAAAAATGGGCGCCCTGGTTTACCATCAACTTAATATTTGAGTATGACACCCTTTGGAAAACACACTGCACAGTCGCTTCCTATAACCATCAATAAGCTTCTGACACCTCTCACCCGTCTGGACCACTCTTCCTTTGCAAACAGCTCCAGGTCTCTCTTATTGGAAGGACACCATATTCTCCCAAAAGCAATTTTAAGATCTCTCCACAGGTTGTTCAATGGGATTTAGATCTATTGCTGGCCACTTCAAATCTCCAGCGGGTATTATCCATTTCACATGCTTTTTGATTTTTGGGGTCATTGTCCTGCACATATAGACGCAAACCCCACATAGGTTACACTCCCTGAAGGAGGTGTCATTCAGTCAAAAATTGTACCATAGGTATATAATATCACATGTACGCAAACCAAGCATAAAGGCAAATTCCAGTTACCACCTGGAGAGATGAGCATAACCCTAGGCCATTGAACCTCCACCATATCTTATAAGGCAATGTGGGTAAACAAAAATTGAATAAAAAAGGGGGGGAATGAACTCCAGTGCATTTTGGCAAATGTATGGCTTTTTTATGCTACAACCCTGTCAGCAGTGGGGCCATGTGGGTTGGGGCCCAGCGTTTCATTTCTGTAATATACGTGAATAATTGCAAAGATTCTTATGATGCTCCCTGAGTCCCTGCAGGACAGTTGATGTCTTTGAATGGAGTTTGGGATGGATCCAAATCCGGCATTCTGCGTTGCAATGCTTTCATCAATGGTTTCTCACCACAACAGGGTGATTAGCTACAGTGCCATGGGTTGCAAACCTTCTTGATAATGTTTGACAATAAGATCTGTGGAGATGGACGTAATGTCAGTTGATATTTTGCCACAATTTTGGTTCTCAGGTCCGGACATGCGCGTCTCCTCTTTCTGTTGTCCGCTTATGCACGACCGACCTACAAGGAGCAGCCATTTTCACATGCCATGAGTCATGCAAAAGCTTTACAGGCTGCCATGGAGAGGTGGAACCCGCGAAATGTCGGCTGATGTAAGCGGCAGTTCCCCACCTGTTACTTGCCCTATGAAGGATATTTGTATTTTCTACTACCCATGGCACATGGTGAGTGGACTGTTACAGGATTAACGAAGAAGGCTCTTGCTACTTATTATATATCCGCAGTTAGTGAAAGGGTGTACCCAGAGTGACTATTCTTATATTTTGTCCAGCCCTTTGTGTGACATTACAATTTGCTTTCTTTCCTCCCTTTTTTTGTTTTGTCCCAATACACACAAAGGGAATAAACATGTGTATAGCAAAACATGTGTTAATGCAATACGTTTCGTGAGAAATACATGATTTCCTGGAGAAATATCAAGGGTGCCAACAATTTCGGCCATGACTGTATTGCAACAGGCGGAAGACCTACTGGGCCTCATCTTATTTCAAATATTAAAGTGGTTTGCAGTTCTGCACCAGATCCAGTCTGCCCTCAGATCATCTCCTGTTTCTGGACCAACTGCATGCACCCGGGCCACACCACGTCCTGTAACGCCCTGTTACCAATTCTGGGGCACTGGTGGCACTGCCTGAGGGCCCAGGGCCAGTAGAGGGCCCAGGGCCAGTAGAGGGCCCATGAGCAAGGCCGTATTTTCACAAGGGCTGCACCTAGGGACCCTAGATGCATGGGGGGACCCTGTAGTTCAGGGGTCTCCAAACTATGGCCCTCCAGCTGTTGAAGTACTACAAGTCCCATCATGCCTCTGCCTCTGGGAGTCTTGCCTGTGGCTATCAGAGTCTTGCAAGGCCTCATGAGACTTGCAGTTCCTCAACACCTGGAGAGCCATAGTTTGAAGACCTCTGCTGTAGTTCCACTCCAGGGGGGGTTGCGTGTGGATAGAGTGAGTGATCAGTGCAGTGGGTGGGGGGAAATAATTAAAACTGATGTTTTGTGGCTCACTGCTACAGCTGCTGCAGTGAGAGCCACAAAAGATCAGAACAAGCTATTTCCCCTCACCCCCCCCCCCCCCATTTGATGCAGCTGACTTTCCTCTTTGCCTCTCCCACTGGCTGCAGCTGCAGGCCCACAGGGATTTAGGATGGAGGGTGGGGAAGGGGCCAGTAAGTATTTTCCAGCCCCTTCCTTTTTTTAAATAAACACAGTGAATGATCGCTATTGATCACTCATTGTATTCATTCATGACCGAAGCATAGGAAACTGTGTTTACTATGCTTCGGTTTCTGAATAGACTGGAACCTTTGTCTCCTGTTCATTCATCTGCAGTGCAGATACTACAGAGAAAGGGACTGGGGAATATGTCTTCAGTCCCTTTCTCTGTCTCAAAAGTGAGACTCCAGGGGTCCGTTAAGACCCCTGATATCTAACCAAAGCCTCCCCAACAGCTTTGTGAAAAAAATAATTTAATTAAAATGAATTAAAATTTAAAATAGAAAAAAAAATAAAAATTTGTAAAAAAAAACAAACTAAAATTTCTAATCAGACTAAAAAGCCAAGCTCAATATGTGGCATAATTTAACCCACACCCACTGTGTACCATGGCATGCTATGCACACTGCAGGAGGTCTCCATCTCCTTGGTAGGGGCCCAAGTGCATTACTTTGCCCAGGGGCCCATGATGCTGTTAATGTAGCACTGCCCATGAGAGGCTCCTGACCTTTATTGGGTTGCCAGCTTTAAGTCTCCTGCCACTCTACACATCATCCAGCTTGTTGCCCCTCCATACGGGCCTGCTGCATTAATGTTGTGTCATAAAGATGGCTGCCATGCATATTTACACCTGGGAGCCTCATGATCTCTTATTTCTTAGGGGCCCCATGAGTTGTCAGTCTGGCCCTGTTATAGGGGGAATTGGATAGGACGTACAAAGGGAGCCGTCTCATCAGTTCAGCCTCTACCAGTTACATGACACCAGTTATCCATGTGAGCAAGGTTTATAAACATTCTTCCACACAGATGCTTATCCTTGGCATTATTCTGATTTATACTCCTCCTACACCTGTGTATAAGCATGCTTTGAGCTACCACCAGGTATCAGATCTGTGTCATACCTTCTGCATGATGAAAGGAAGAAGATGGTTCTTTATCGTTATTCTTTCCTTAAACCAGTAAAGGGTTTGAAAGAGAAAAACCTAACCCTTCCTCCCTCTATCCAAAATATATTTATACACATTGTTTTGGCTGTTGATTTTCAACTTTATCTGTAGATTTATACAATTGTGCACTCAATCAATATTGATAATAAAACGTCTGTACTTTCTGCACCATACTGTACAGCTTTTGAGGAAATATCTATCCAGCAACAGACCCCCCCCATCTTCTAATGCGTACTTTCTACCTGCATGTGAGTGGCAGTTGGGGCAGAAGTTATATAAGCTCAGCGATATTTGGTTGTCTTCCATCAAAGTGTAATACGGGAGAAAAGCCATCAGCCACCACCATGATACGTTTGAGCCAACCGCAACAAATAAATTTGGCTGCTGCTATTGTGATTGACTTATGCAGTTTTGGATGTCTATCGAGGAGTATAACAGTGGACATGCTGGAAGCCACAACAGACAGATGCCTAGAGTGCAATTTATCCTGTAGTCTCCTTTAACCATCTCCCGCCCGCCATATAGTAATATGACGGATGCAAGGTGGTTCTCTCGTTCTGGGAGGATGTCATATGACGTTCTCCCATTCTCACCACGCATGCGCAGCTCAGGGTGCGGGCAGCGCGGCGATCGGCGGTGTGCTGTGTTCCTCGGACACAGCGGATCACTGATCACGGAAAGAGCTGAAGATGTCGGCTTGGTCATGTGATCAGCTGTGTCCAATCACAGCTGATCACATGTAAACAGGGAAACGATCAGCATTTCTCTCCTCTCGAGCTGTCACGCTGACAGCTCAAGAGAAGAGGAGAGCCAGAAATCAGGGGACATGTACACTGATCATCAGGACACTGATGACCAGTGTGCCGCGATGATCAGTGAAGCCCCAACAGTGCCACCTGTCAGTGTCCATCAGTGCCTTGTGTCAGTGCTCATCGGTGCCTCATGCCAGTGCCCATCAGTGCCACATCAATGCCACATATCAGTGCCTACCAGCGCACATCAATGCCACATATCAGTGCCCATCTGAGCTGCCTTTCAGTGTCACTCATCAGTGCCAGTCAGTGCCACCTATGCCAACATATCGGTGCTGCCCAATAAGTGCCGCCTATCAGTGCACATCAGTGCGCATCAGTGCAGCCTAACAGTGCCAGTCAGTGCAGCCTAACAGTGCCAGTCAGTGCCGCCTAACAGTGCCAGTCCGTGCCGCCTAACAGTGCCAGTCCGTGCCGCCTAACAGTGCCAGTCCGTGCCGCCTAACATTGCCAGTCAGTGCCGCCTAACAGTCAGTGCCACCCAGTCAGTCAGTGCTGCCTATCAGTGCTGCCTTTCAGTGCCCATCAGTTATGCCTGTCAATGCCCATCACTGCAGCCTCATTAGCGCACATTAGTGAAGGAGAAAAATCACTTATTTACAAAATTTTATAACAAAAACTAAGAAAAAACTTTTTTTTCCAAAATTTTCAGTGGTTTTTGGTTTAAGAAAAAATAAAAAAACCACAGGTGATTAAATACCACCAAAATAAAGCTCTGTCACAAAAAAAATTATAAAAATGTCATATGGGTACAGTGTTGCATGACTGCACAATTGTCACTCCAAGTGCGACAGCGCTGAAAGCTGGAAATTGGCCTGGGCAGGAAGGGGTATAAGTGCCCTGTAGGCTTGTGGTTAAAGCTGCAATTTTATAACAACATATGCATTTAAAAGTGGTAGTTTTGTCATTTTTTAAAAAAATGGTTTGAAAACAACCTGATATGAGCTAGAATCCTTCTTCAAGTGTTTGCCTATACTGGAGCAACAGATCCAGGCTAATCCTATCAAATAAAGAACATGGTGCTCTTTTATTGTTTCCGGATATCCCTGAGGTGACATCATGGGGCAAGGGATAAAAAAGGTGGAAGAGAGACTGGCACACATTTAGAGCTATGTGATAAAGTGTAAGAGAAAAATGGGCATAAATATTTGGTCATTTAAAGCAGAATTCCAGATAAAAAAGAATAGCCTGGTAAAAAAATAAAATAATGTAGTGTAGGGCAAAGACGTCCACTTATTTCTCTCTGTGGTAAGTCCCTGGAATCCTCATGGGTTAAGAAACCTTATGCTTGCCCTTGCCCTGCCAGTAGAAGGTCGCCCTATTTATGGTTTGGGGGGGAAACATCCTGGGACACCAGTAACCAGACTCAAAAGGAGGCACCCCCTTGAACGCCTTCTCTACAACCAACCAAGAGACCACCTTATTAAGAATAATCTTCTTGATCCCTTTCAGCCTGGATTTCACTTTAAACACTCCACAGAAACTGCTCTACTAAAACTCACAATTTACTAACAGCTAAAACCAACGGACACTATTTTATTTCAGGATCTTTTGGCTGCCTTTGATATGGTTGACCACATCTTTCTCTTCCTCCTCCTCCTCAAAAACGTTTCCAACTTTGTTGTCCATGACTGTACTCTTCGTTGGTTCTCATTCTACCTATCCCTCCAAACCTTCAATGTCACTTACAATTCTACTTCCTCTTCCTTTCTCTGTTGGGGTCCTCCAAGGTTCTATTCTTGAGAAACTCTCCTATTCTCAATCTACACCTCCTCCCTGGGTCATCTGATAGTCTCCCCTTGGCTTTCAATATCATTGCTATGCTGATGACACCCAAATCTATCTCTCTACCCCTCAGCTCACTCCATCAGTCTCCTCACAAATCACTAATTTACTGACCGACATTTTAGACTGGCTGTTACACCACTTCCTCAGACTCAATCTATCCAAAACCGAGCTCTTAATAACTCCTCCCCCCATGTGTCCCTTCCCGTGATTTCTCAGTCGAGACCAATGGCACAAGCATCAAACCACTCCTGCATGCCAGGGTGCTAGGTATAACCCTGGACTCTCCTTTCGGCCCCACATACAATCACTGTCCACAGCTTGCCGCCTCAATCTCTGCAAAATCTCCAAAATACGCCCCTTCCTAACCAATGACTCAACAAAGCTCCTAATTCACTCCCTGGTTATCTTTTGCATTAACTACTGCAACTCCCTCCTCATTGACTTACCTTTTTACATAGGCTATCCTCCCTTCAGTCCATCATGAATGCTGCTGCTAGACTCATCCACTTTACCACCCATTAAGTGTCTGTTACCTCTCTCTGACAATTCCTCCATTGGCCTCCACTCCCCCAATGAATTAAATTCAAAATACTAACTTATAAATCCACCCACAACTTGGCCTCCAGCTGCATAATTTACATAGCCGTAAAAACCAACCAAATCCTTCTCTTCATTCCTCCCAGACCTCCTGCTCTCTAGCTTCCTTGTCACCTCCCATGCTCGCCTCCTGGACTTCTCCCATGCCTCTCCCATCCTATGGAACTCCCTTCCCCAATCTATCCAACTATCTCCTACTCTGTCCACTTTTAGATAATTTCTGAAAACCCTTCTCTTCAGAGAACTCTATCCTGCCTCCACCTATCTGTATCTCCACTTTCTCATCCCCCACAGTTATTATCTTTTGTATCTTTTGACCTTCCCTTTTAGATTGTAAGCTGTAATGAGCAGGACCCTCGGATTCCTCCTGCATTGAATTGCATTGTAACTGTACGGTCTGCCCTTATGTTGTAAAGTGCTGCACAAACTGTTGGTGCTATATAAATCCTGTGTGATAATAATAATAACCCTATTCTCTGAGGTGCACTAGGACATGACATATCATGTAGGTGGGAGTTCTAAATGGGCCTAAGAGACCTAGGGGGGAAATTAGGTGGGCTGCCACATTCTAAGGACTAATGCTTTTGAGATTACTCTCATTCGCTAGGAGAATGGTAGAAGTAGAACTCTGGGACAGCCCTCCAAAGGTCACCGGTCTTGCAAGTCTCTTTTCTCCTACTGCACTGCTTTGCTCTTTAGGAAGTTTGTAATGTAAGGATGTGCCACCTCCATTTGGAAAGATGAAAGAACTGCTTATAAATACTCGGATGTTATACTTAGTAAAGCAAAGACCACAAGCATCTATTGTGTGCACATTCAATTATTCTGACCACATATTGGAACATCTTCTTGGAATGGACTGATGCATGGTGGGTGGCAATGGGGTCCAATGCTGTGGACCTCTGCAATGTATGGATTATATAACTGCATGGCTCTGGATAGGCCAATTTGGGTATTGTATTGGACATCTATCAACAGGTAAAATGTGCTGGGAACCTGGCAGGTCCCATGCCAGAGTATCCAGGGGGGATGGATGATTGCAGGAATATCAGGAAGCATGGGGTTAAAGGGCATATGTGCTCCCCCACCTCTCAACTACAGGGCACAGGGGAGGTATGCAGCCAAGTACATGGAGCATTGTGATATCATTAGTAATTATCACTGCATGCCAGGTATGCTGGTCTGTTCTCTACGTGTATTAAGCTAGTGATTAATCGAGGGAATTGTAGTTGCATGATCACATTATTTAAAGTTGTCATTGCACACCTAGCCCCTTCTTATTTCATGCTTGGAATAACGTGTGCTGATTATATGAGAGCTCATGCAAGAACATAATATGGTATTAGGTTTTTTCAGACACTATTAATCTCATCTAAATTGTTCTAATTGCCTTAAAGTGGACCTGAACTCAAATAGTGAAGATCTGCTATGTTATAGAGAATATCTAGAAGTGTTCATTGTGCCTAAGCATTACCCTAAAAAAAAAAAAAAATCTATTTTTTTGTCTTGAATTTCCCATGAAAACTGCCAGTGCACTTCCTGGTATGTTAGGGTACCTAGGCACCCCAGTTTATATCTGCAGTATGAGATCTAAGGTACTGCTCCCTCTGACTGCTAGTCTCAGGAAATTTGAAGTGGAATTTGGTGATGTCACTACTGTTCTGTTCATTCTTCTCCTTGCTGGAGGATCTGACATGAGGAAGCAAAACCCTGACTTTACCAAGATGGCCACCGCTACACATAGACACAATGCAGAACAAGATAAAGATCAGCTACAGGTGAACCCCAGGCAATAGTGGTGACTAGTCCTTTATCCTCTGCCTACCTGTTTTAAATGCAGCTTCCTCTTTAAATCTTGAATAACAACAGTCAGATATGTGCTTATTTTTTATTTTTTGTCATTCCCAGTTTTATGAGGCACAGCTCTATTTTCAAAGCCTAAATTGTTTACTCAAGGCTTTTCTAAAACTGTTCCAAAATCAGCTGAGAAATGAGGCTGAATGAGCCACAGACTTTGCTGTAGGCACTCTTTATGACACCAATATCTTCCAGCCTCAAGTGTCAAAACCAGACTATATATAAAAACATTCATGGAGCGATCATTCCGCGGGTTTGATGGCTCTCTGTGTCACCTCTAGCTGACAGTTGATTTGTTATGTCCGTAAGTCCCTGTCTTATCCTTCTCCACCGGAAAAATGTCATTTATCTATTTTTATCGTTTAAGAAAAACATTTATTTTCTGCCTGCAAAAATGTCCCTTGGACTTGGGAATGTCAAAGTGCCTGTTTATGATTATAAAAAAAAATGGAAAAAATTAAAAACAAGCGATGAAGTACTGATATTAATACTAATAAATGTAATATAATTTTCTTTGACATGTATCATAAAAGTGTAAAAAAAAAAAAAAAAAAAAAAGTATCTATAGCAAAATGAACTGCTTGTAAATATTCTATTCAGTAAAGCAAAGACCACAGGCATCTATTGTGTAGCAAAATATCTCTTTTTTATGTACTCTTTATTACATTTTTTTTTCACATTTTTAAACACCATAGACATACACATTTCACTTGCAACAATGCGAAATATGAAAACTAAATTGACCATTAGGGATAAGCCAACGTTTGCTTTTTTGGCCCCCTGTCTGATGGGAGCCGAACATCACTGTTTCTATCACAGCTTCTACATATGACAGTTTCCCACTGTTGCTGGTTCTTAAGGAAGCTGTGAATGATTGTACGGGCCTCATTCCTAAGAACCAATGATGTCACCAAACCACTTAAGCAAAGGGGCCGAAATAGCAGTGACATTGGCCATACTTGGTCAATGATGTCAGCCCTTACCTTATATAGCTGATTCAGTACTGTTGGGATCAGTCATGTGCACTGGGTAATCTGATTTTTT